GGAGCCGAGAGCGCCTGGCCCCCAGCAGGGAGGGTGAGCCGCGCGCGCCACGGAAGCTTCTGACAGGAATGGAGAGCCAAGAGCTCTCAGGTTCCTCCCCGCTGACCGAAGTGACAGATGGGCAGGAGACGACAGATGTATCCGCCAGCCCCGAAGTCTTACACAGGCCCCTTGTGCTCAAGCTCCTCAACGTGCACGAGCCGAGGGAGTCTGAGGAGGAATTCGAGAAACCCGAGGAGGCCGGTGAGCAAGACCGGAGAGACAAGCGCAAGGGGCGTGATGGGTCCGTCAAGCCCCGCAAGTCCAGCGGACCCTACGAGCCCCACGAGCCCCACCGACACTACGAGCCTCACGGACACTACGAGCCCTACGAGCCTCACCGACCCGAGCCCAGCGACCCCTACGAGCCTCACGAGCCCCGGGCGCCCCAGGACCCCCAGGACCCCTATGCACCCTACGAGCCCCATGAGCCTCGCGCACGCCCCAAGCCCCGCAAGTCCCGCGAGGCCGACGAAGCCCAGTTGCCTCCCGGGGCCGCAGGGATGATCTGCCCGTCTCTGATCGCCAGAGCCCCGCCACGGCGTCAGCGGTCTCCCCGGCGCGGTAGGTGCTCCCCCAGCCCGCCCCCGCTTCCTCGCTGCCCCCGCCCACCTGGGACGGGGCTCCCAAGGTGAAGGTTTGTTTGCATGCAAGAACTTGGCGTCTTAAAGGAACTTAACGCTTGTGTCATTTACCTGCTGCTTTGCAGTCATCTCCCGTTGCGCTTCGAGCGACTGCACTGGGAAATCGACACGCTCATAACGAGACAAACCGAATCTTGTCACTCCCACGGCCACCTGATGACCCCTAGCCATCCCGATGACCTATTGTTACCTCCCTTTGAAGCCCTTCTTGATTCTCCTCTACAGTTAGTCATTGCATCCCTCTGGGTTGCACTTTGAACATTATTACCCTTATTATAGCACTTAAGATCTTTTATTACATCGTTTATCTTTCTCCCCAACTGAACGAAGGGATCCTTGAGGGGAGGACATTTTTGTCAGTGTTTGGCACATGGTCCCATGTGGAAACAGAGCATTCACTGGGCAAATATTTAAAGCGTACATCTACTGAGTGCTCACACTGTGCTTGGTCCTCACCACGTTCACAGGGTAGCAGGGCTGCTGGGACTTGGGTACAAACATCCTTGCTCTGACCACACTAGCGCACTTCTGACCCCTCACTGCTGACACAGCCCCACGCAATTCTTTGTCCACGTTGGGCCTCCCGGCCCTTTGCTGACCAGTTTCTCTCAAACGTTCTTACTGACTCCTCCTTCCCCAGCCTCCATTCTGTGGCCCATCATTGCATTTGTTCCCTTCCGTCTTCCACCTCCCTTGGCTCCGGGGCTATCCACCACACTTCTGAGAAAAAACCTCAACCCCGGTTAAACTCGGCCATCCTTCTCTTCTCTTCCTACACCTAAGCAGTTGGGTCTCGCGGTACAGAATTGCACAATCACACTGACTGGTCCGTTTCAATTTCATCTCAGTTGGTCGCTCCTCACTGGCTAGCAAGCTCACTTCATTCACCTGCTAAGTTAGTTCTCCCAGTCTCTGAGATGATGACCAAATGCCTTTATGTCTCCTCCAGCCTTCACACCTTTAACCCTCACCAGCTGAAGACTTTGCCTCGTACTTTACTGAGAACATAGAAGTGATCAATCATGAACTCCCTTTTGTTCTTACCATGAGTCTATTGCTTTACCCACATCTGTACCCATGGACTCTGCCTTTTCTCATGTTTCAGGGGAGAATGGTGCTTTTTTTTTTTTTTTTTTTGGTGAAAAGTAAAATTCTTCACTTGTGCTTCAGATTCCACTCTTGTCTCCTGAAGAACCTTGTTGCTACAGTTATCCCCTCTCTCTCCTGAAGCATCAGTTTCTCCCTTTCTAATGAATCAGTCCCACGAGCATACACATATACTCTAGAATCTTCCACCTTGAAATAATCCTGGGCCCTGTGTCTTCTTCAGACCCCTCCTTCCCCCACCATCACCACCATTTTTCTGTTCTCCTTCACTGCAGAACTTGTCAAAAGAGTTATCTAGACTCACTGACTCCATTTCCTCACCTCTCATGCTCTCGGAACACCCCGGCTGGGCTTCTTTCCTCTCTACTCCACTGAAGGCTCTGGTTTACTTCCTGCCTTTCTCTCCCCTGCCACCCCTGTCATCATGCGTGGAGATCTCACAGCCACGTGGATGGTCCATTTGGCTTCTCAGTTCTTTGACTTGATTACTTTGAATGATCTTGTTCTTCACTCCATCTTAGGCACCCACTACCTTAGCCCTTGTCAATTGCTGTACTATTTCCAGAATCTCTATTTCAAGCACTCTAATCTGTAACCATGTCCTATCTTTCCAGCTTACTCTTCCATGAACCCCTTATCAAATTTTCAGCTTCAAAGGGACTTCTAATCCATTGACCCTACTAACCTTTCATTATATATCACTACCTTATGTCCATCTGTCTCTCCTCACTCACCTTATATTCCATGGACCACAATGGAATTACTCCCTTGTCTCCCTCTCCTTCTGTCATTCTTGCCTGGTTAAATCCACCTCTTGCCTGCACTTGTGAAAACAGATAATGACAAGAGAAAGGCACACAACTATGCTGACTGACCTTTGAATTCATGCCCCGAACTTCAAGTGGGCTCTCAGTGCTGCTTGGCAATCATACTACATTTTCCCAATCAATTCATTTCCCAAATGTCCCAGAAATCATGGTCAGTGCTCTCTTTCCTCAAACTTCCTGTGTTCTTTCCTCCCTCCTCACTCTTCACTGATGATTTTGCTTTTTTTCTCCCCACTGAGAAGAAATCACAAAAGATCTTCATATCTTTCCACCATGAAATCTATCAAACTACCAGTATCTACACATATATTATCTACACATGTATACTCCACTTTTCTCCTGTTAATAATGGATGAACTGTCCTTGCTCCTAGTAAGGCCATTCCCTCAATCTCCATGTTGGATTCCACCCCATCTGACTTCTTCTTTTTCTTCTTCTTCTTTTTTTTTTTTAAGACAGACAGGATCTCTCTCTGTTGCCCAGGCTGGAGTACAGTGGTATTTTCATAGCTCACTACAGCTTCAAATTCCTAGGCCGAAGCGATCCTCCCACCCCAGTCCCCAGAGTGGGACTGTAGGTGTGCACCACCATGCCCAGCTAATTTTTCTATTTTTTTGTAGCAATGGGGTTCCCCTCTCTACTAGATCATTCCCACTGGCATACAAACATGCACACTAATTCCTGTCTCAAAAAACCCCACAAAAACCCTAACCTTCCCTTAACCCCATGTACCAGGTACCCTATTTCTCTGCTTTGCTTTAGAGGAAAAATGAGTTGTCTGTAAGTCATTATTTCCATGTTGTCTTTTCCCATTCTCTTGAGAACCACTTAATTGAAGCTTTCATCCCCTCCACTGAGCTGAAGTTGCTTTCGCTGATGTCACAATGACCTCTGCCTTAGCAAATTCAATGGCTAATTCTTCATCCTCATCTTACTCATTTGACACCTTCACTCCTTACTTCTTAAAAGTTTTTCTTGGCCGGGCACCGTGGCTCATGCCTGTAATCCTAACACTCTGGGAGGCTGAGGCAGGAGGATCACCTGAGCCCAGGAGTTTGAGGTTGCTGTGAGCTAGGATGACGCCCCGGCACTCCAGCCCAGGCAAGAGAGTGAGATTCTGTCTCAAAAAAAAAAGTCTTTCTTGACTTGACTTCTGGGATACCACTGCCTCCATTGTCCTACCTCCTTGATTGTTCCTAACTCAGTTTCTTTTGCTGAATCCTCCTCTTCCCAGCCTTTGGTTGAAGTGACTGATGGCTTAGTCTGCTCAGATTCTTCTAGAACTTTCCTTGTTCCCTGGATGTTGTCATCAGTTCCATGGTTTTAACTATATGCTGGTAACTTCTTGAATTATTTCTAGCCTCAGTTTCTCCCCTGAACTCCAAAGTTTTAAAACTAGTTGTCTATTTAACATCTCTGTTTGAGCATCTATTAGGCATGTAAAACTTAATGTGTCCATAACTGAACTCTTACTTCTGCACCCAAACTTGTTTTTCCCTCAATGTTCCCCATTTCATCAAATGGCACCACTTTTTGTTCATCCAGGTTGCCAAAAAATTTGGAAGCATTTTTTTTTTTTTTTTTTTGAGACAGAGTCTCACTCTTTTGCCCAGGCTAGAGTGCAGTGGCTTCATCTTAGCTGACTGCAACCTCAAACTCCTGGGCTCAAGCAATCCTCCTGCCTCAGTCTCCTGAGTAGCTGGGACTACAGGCATGTGCCACCACGCCTGGCTAATTTTTCTATTTTTTGTAGATACAGGGTTTTGCTATGTTACTCAGGCTGGTCTCAAACTCCTGGCCTCAAGCAACTTTCTTGCCTCAGCCTCCAAAAGTGCCAGGATTACAGGCATGAGCCACTGTGCCCTGCCAAGAATTTTTTTTTAATTTAAAACTTTTTTGAAATTTGTAAGACATTCGCATGCTTCATAAACAGACACAATATAAGGAGACATACAAGGAAATGTCTCACTCCCACACTGTTCCCTCCTAAACCCTCTCTCACCTTTTACAGATAACCACTTAGTTCTGTGTATCTTTATATAAATATAAGAAAATGCCATGCAAGCATGTTTGTTTTCCCCCTTTCTTATTCAAAGGGTTGCACACTCTATACTCTTATTCACTCTTTTTTCCTCCCACTGGACAATATATCTTTCCATATAAGGACATATAGAATTTCCTCTTTTTTAAAAAAAAAGCAGATGCATTATGTTCCATTGTTTAACCTCCAGGTTGCTTCCAGGACCTTGCTATTATAAACAGTGCTATAATAGAGACACCTGTACATATGTCATTTAGTACCCTTGCAGGTATATCTGTAGAATGAATTCCCAGAAGTAGGATTGCTGGAGGGTAAATGTATTTGCAATTTTGATTTCACAAAATTGTCCTCCAAAGGAGCTGATGCATTTTGTGTGCCCAGTAGCAAATGGAAGTGTCTTTGTCCCCATAGTCTCATTACTGTAGTGTGTACTTAAACTTTTGGCTTTTTGAAAAGCTGATAAACTGGTTTGTCAATTAAGTTTTAATTTACATTTGTCTTATTAAATGAGTGATATTGAGCATCTTTTTGGATATATATTTTTATGTGCTTTGCCTATATTTCTTTTGGCTCAATACATTTTTTCCTTATTTATAGGGAGATTAGCCCTTTGTCTGGAATATGTATGACATATTTTTTCAGTTTGTTGATAGTTGTTTTGTCTTTGCTTATTTTTTTGTTTGTTTCACCATAAAAACATTTTTATAGTAAAATTTACCAATAATTTCTTTTATGACTTCTGTATAGAATCATATAATTAGGAGGGCCTTTCTAGGTTATGAAGGAATTGAGCCATATGTTTTATTTCATGGTCTGTTAAAAAATATTTAAATCTTTGATCCATTGGGAGTTTATCCTGATGTACAGTGTGAGTTACAAATCCAACGCTCTTAGTGACTGCCTGGTGGCATGTGTCGTCTTCACACAACTGGAATCCGGTGAAAATGAACATGAAAAATAGATTTGAAATTAGAGGGAAAAAATCACAAAAGTGCAAATGTAGGGGTGTGAGAGGAGGCACAGCTCATCCCTTTGTCTTAATAGTTAGCTTGGGGATGTGATATTTTTGAGCACTCGTTCGAATGGAAACCTCAGGTTTGTTGTTGTTTAACCAGATGGAGGGGCTCGTCCTCTTTCTGCCTCCACCATCCCACCCTCAAGCAAATCCCTGTCCCACTCTCTCATCTCTTGCCCTGTGACCCTGAGCTAAGGCCGTGGGGAGCAGGCTAGGGAGCTGTGCTTAGGAGAGGAGCAAGGAAGAATGGGCAGCAGTGACAGATCCGATAGCTTAGTATGTCATATCGAAGAATGTCCCAATGTTCATTTATGTAGTCGTACCCACTACATGACTGGACTGCACAATAGTGCACTTAAAAACCTCGAAAATGTAAGTCTTATTGAAATACTTATACCTTCCAACACGGAGCAAAACTTGCTAAAATGTTCTTGAGGCATTTCTCTTCCCAAGTCCCTGTCATCATGACAGCGAGTCCTCACGAATACCTTTCCTATTTCTCGCAAGCTCCAGCCCGCCTTTCTCTCTCCCTCTCCTGTCCTCCACTCCCACCCCCAGATCTGTTCTTTTCTTCTGAGAAGTGCTCCTGGCCTTTTCTTTGCAGGTTAGCTGTCCCCCATTTGGTACTCAAACATGGACTTTTTAGAAGGCAGGGCAGAAAGCAAGGTGAAGAATTGTTACACTTCGATATTGCATCCTCATCGTGCTACAGAATGATTTACTTCTGCATGCGATGGGAATGTCCGTCAGGGAGGAGCCGCGTTTGCGTCGTGCTTTCTTTCCCCCAGCAGATGGCAGTCTTCCCACAGATGACCTGGAGCACGGGCTGGTCGTCCCAGGTGTTCGTTAGCAGCAGCAATGGGGTTTGTGTGCTACAGGATAAAACAAAAACATTTAAAGGGAATAATATAACCATAATGTTCTGATTTATCTCCTAGAGGGAGATTCTATTAATTATCTTGCCCAAAATACTTCAGTGGCTTCTTCCTAGTGCCCTTTAATAAAAGCAGAACTCCTCCAGAGCTCATGGTGATGGGCCCAACCACAAATCCTTCTGTCTTTTCCTTGCTCCCTTCCTTCCAGCCATCCTGACCCACTGTCTTGCTGATTCCACCGCAGGGCCTTTACACTTGCTGTTTTCAGTCTGCAATGCTCTCCCTCTCTCCTTTCCCCTTCTCCCCGCAGATCATCACGTAGCTGGCACCTTCTTGTCTTTCTTTCCACAGTTCAAGTGTCATTTCCTCCAAAAGGCTCTTCCCGGGCTGCTTTTCCTAAAGTAGGCACCCCCTTCCTTCTGCCTTAACCAGCCACATCATGCTGCTTTATTTTCTTCCCAGCACTTATCAGTGTCTGAAGTTATTTACTTGCTTATTGTCTATCTTCATACCTAGATGGTAAGCTGCATGATGGTGGGACAGGGACTTCAACTCTCTTGACCCTTTTCTATTCCAAAGCTTACAATGGATGGATGAAGTCACTTTCTAGATTCACTCAATCGTTATTGAGCGTACAGTAGCTTATGTTCATTAGGTGTTCTAAATATTTAATGTAATCTCGTTTTATCTTTAAGACAACCCCTTTGAAGTAAGTGCTGTTTGTGTCCCCATTTTACAGATGAGGAATCTGAGACTCAGTACTTTGTCCCCCACCCGGCACGTAGTGGTGGGACCAGCGTTCAAAGCCAAATCAATTGATCCAAAGCCTATGAACGACTGCAATGAATAGATAGGTCGGCCCAGATGGTCTTGAATGGGAGAGAGGAAGTACCGCTGTAATTTTCTATGGAAGAGGGAGCTGGGGAATATTTTGGGGACATGGAGTGAAATTGGAGTTGGGCTACAGGAAGATCAGCCAATATGGATAGATTGGCTGTTTCCAGAAAAATTTGAATGTTTGAACACTGCTGTGCCCAAGAGTCACGGCGACAGATGCATACTGGAAATTTCAACTTGACCATACGCTTAGTAGCAGAGGATGCTCGATGCTGTTGGAAAGAGCACTGGACTAGGAGACAGGAAACTTGGATTTACTTCTGGTTTTGTCTTAGCAGGATGTCTGTTTCTTTTCTAGTGAAATGAGATGGTTAGACTGGCTAATGACTATGAGCGGCCATAGTGTTGAGTCTGTATTTTAATGCAAACTGCTTAATTCGATATAATAAGATTTTGCCAAAGTGTGATTACTATATATTCTTGAATATAAGGAAATTAAAAAAAATGTTTTTGCCAATTTGAATATATAAACTTTTAGGGATTAAAGTTAAAATAGACAAATGTTTATTTATAATTATACTATAAAAATTAAAATTAAAAATTAACATATTAAACTAAAAATAAAATAACACATTAAAATAAATGATATAATTTAGAAATATTTCTTATTCCTAATGTCATATTTCATGGAAAACAGTTTTATTTAATTTTTTCACATGCATGTTGTACATCACTGGAGTCAGTTTTTGAGTAATTTTACATACTTTTTAAGTGAGAATCATTTTTATTTCTAAGTTATTTGAGATAGAAAACTTAAGATATTTTTATCATGGAAATTTTCAAACATGCACAAAATAGAGAATGCCATAATAAACCCCACATACCCATCATCTAGTTTCAATACTTAACGTTTTTTGAATCTTGTTTGATCTAGGCATCCCCCACCTCATTTTTGGGGCATCCTATAGGACAAATTTGTTTTAAAGAAAATAGTTGATATCATGTCATTTCACTCATAAATATCTCCATGTACATCTCTAATTGCTAAAGACGTATTTTAAGAAAAATCCCATAATTATCATGTCATAATTACACTGAACAAAATTTACAATTTATTCTTTGAAACCATCTAATGCCCACTAAATACTTAAGATTCCCTAATTGTCTCAAAAATGTATTTTTGAAATTGATGTATTCGAATTATGACTTAAACAAGGGCCGAACATTGCATTTGGGAGTTATCTCTTGAAGGAAACCAAAATATTTCTCCCCAAAATATTGAGGATTGTTAAGTTAAAGACACTAAAAACGCAGGCGAACACTCTGCCTCAGCCTCTGTGTGCCTGATGGCTGGACATAAATCCTCCCTTGCTGGACACAGCACTTGCTTATCGGCCCAGAGAAGGCACCAGCAGGCACCAGAGAAAGCTGGGAACAGATTTTACTATCTTTCCCACATTTTCCTGCCTTCTTAGAAGACTGGAACTGCTCTCTCCTTTGTCTTGTCACTATATAAGATTTATGGCCTTTGTTAAAATACCATTTAAGCAAAGCCTCCAAGTCACTGCCTTGAGAGAGAAATACTTTCGGAGAGGCCTCTCCTGCTGATAGGTATAGCACCGTGTTCATAAACTTCTGCTTGTTTTTCTTTTAATCTGACACTTGTTTTCAGGGGAGTGTCTCAACTAAGAACCTAAAAATGGAAAGAAAACAAATCGTTTTCACCCCTACAGTCTCTTCAGTCTCTGCTACTCTTTATCACTTAAACCTTATCTTCTCTGCCTTTATGAAACACCATTTATTTGTCAGAAAAACTGAGTGAAATATTCTGAATTTGATTCTTTCTTTGTGACATCTTTAACTTGTTCCGTTATCCCCCCTATTTCTTGCCAACTGCAATTATAGATTAAGAGGCTTGCTTAGATTCAGAATGAATTATTTTTGGCAAGACTCTTTGGTGGGTGGTGCCGAGCGTGTACTTTCCCGGGCATCACACTTTGAACAAGGCACAAGATGTCTGGCTCGCCCACCTGTGGGGAGTCTAAGATTGATGGGTAGGTTCACGTAAGGTCAGCCTGATCCCTCCATTTTAAAGTTCCCCATCACCCTTTCACCTAAAGTTTTTCACCAGTCTTGCTCATTGCCTAAGTTCCATTATTTTATTTGGAGTGAGACAGGTCCCCTTTGAACCTGTGTTTGATGCAGTCACTGGAAATTATGTTATAAGCCATCAGAACCCATTCATGTACCCATTCCCCCATGACCCATTTATAAAAAAAAAAAAAAGGAAGGAAAAGAAAAAAAAGAACCCATTCATATAATGCAAGAGTAGGAATTTAAAAAAATTCATCCTGTAGGTGTACTTTTGTCTTTACAATACAATCACTATGTTCTTTGTGTATTGTTTGTTTTGCTTTATACAATGTTTAAAACTTGTTTAGAGCAACACCCAGCACTCATGATTATAAGATCATATCCCCAAAAATAATTACTAAAGTTGTTTTAAATTTCTTAACCCTTCCCCCCTTTTAAATACTAATTTTGATAGAGAGAACTCTGTAATTTTCCCATTCTAGCACTTACTGAAGTTGTTTCAGGCTAATATGTTTTTCCTGACCAGTTCTTTGTTGGGAAAATAAAGTAATTGAGAAATTGGCTCCTAAGATGGGCTCTTGTAAGAGCTTGTATGGAAGGTAACCTCTTCTTTCCTGAAGAATAATTTCTTTGGGAAAAATCTTGACTTATATTGTCGTTTATAATACTTTACAGGAAACTTCCTTACTTTTCTTAATTTAACTTGGTTTCATGAAACACATATCAAAAGTGAATTTTGAAGAAGGAAAAAAAAAGTAAGAATATAGGATTCTGTTTAGCTTTCCATGATCAAGTCTTATGATTTATTCTATGCCTTGTATAACACCAGTAGGACCTCACAAGAGAGATTTCTTTCTTTCTTTTTTATTTCAAGATATTATGGGGGTACAAACATTTTGGTTGCAAGTAATGACTTTGCCTAGCCAGATTTCTTTACTATTTCACTATTTGACGCAGCCCGGCACGCCGGGCGCCCCCAGCCCACCATGGCCTAGACGTCCCGCTCGGCCGCCGCTGCGAGCGCCACCTGGCGGGCGACCTCAGCCCCGGCGTGATGCTGGCGGCCGCTGGGCAGCAGATCCGTGCCCGGCCCGTGGACCTGCACAGCTCCTTTCCCACCGGAAACACGGATCAGAAACTCAGCAACTGCAAAGTCGATCGCTCGCTGCGCGTCTGTGTCGCAGAGACTGAGAGACGGGTGTTCGCGCGGCGCCGGCAGCACGCGCGGGGACATTGAGCCCATCCCGTGGGCGCGGAGAGAAAACGCGGAGGACCGAGCGGTCCACGCGGACCCGCCCAGCGCACACAGGATGGGCCCGATCGTGTCGGTGCTGCGTCTGTTTGCTGTTTGCATTTGCACGTGGTCAAGTGATCTGCCTAGGAGAAACCAAGGGATAAACCAAGGGATTAAACCAAGAGATAAATGGTGCTGAAGCGCCTGCTCCACCCTTCTCCCCAGAAAAGATTCCAGTATTGAGAACAGTTGGTGTCTTTGCTTCCAGTAGGAGAATGCTCAGATACGACCGTGCTGGGCTTTGTCCTATGTTCCTCCTTTGTTTCATTTTATTCTCCTTCCCCTTCTCCCTCCACTATTTTTTCTACCTCCCTCCTTGACTTTTTCACCTTACAACATACATATCGTATTGTAGTGTATGTGTTTATGTAGGCAACCTCAAATCCCTTTAGAAATGAGGGGAGGGTATAAACACATAAAGAAACCAATGAAAATACATGTGAGCACATGTTTACAATTAGGTTTAACGTTTTACTAATAGTAATTTTCGTAGTTAATAGTAAACACGTCTTAACAATTACTTATCAGTTACTTAAACAAATGTTTTTGTACCCACAGAAATTTAAGCAGAATCTTAATTCCTGGATTTTTAGAATTGATAGTAGTTGCCATTTATTGTGCATTTACTATGTTCTGGACATTATGCAGAGTGCTTTACATGTATTATTTAACTTTCACATAACAACCTTTTGAGGGAAGAATCCATTTTACACGTGAGGAGACTGAGTTACAGCCAGCGTAACTAAACTTGCTCAAGATCAGAGGTTGGAGCCAAGATTTGATTCCAGGTTGATTCTAGAGCTAGTGGTCTTAGCCATTAAAAGATATCATAGTGGTTCCCCAAACTTGTCTGCTTCATAAAATACCCATTCCTATGTCTCTCCCCCAGAGATTGTGACTTAATTGGTCTGGAATGTAGCCTGGGACCTGGAATTTTAAAAAGATCCCCAGGTGATTCTAATCTTCAGAAGAGTTGGGAAATCACAGTAATGCTGCTTTGCTTGGAACGTTAGCTCATAACAGCTACCTGAGAGCTATTCCGTCCTACCAAATAGTCACATAACATAAAAAGTGTGTTTTCTAAAATAAAAAGTGAAAGCTCCACCTATGGGAGAAATATAGCATGTAAGGGCAGTTGGAAAGAGTGTTATTCATTCATATTGTCAGTATTTATAGATGGTCCTTTAGGATTGATTCAGTATCATACTGTCTCTCTGACCTGTGTATATAAAGATGAAAACCACAGTTGGTAAATACGTAAAAAGTCCATAGAACTAGGCTGTGATTTTCTTGGGTGACAGCAGGGCTGGGTACAAGGGGTATTTTCATAGACTACTGTCCCCTTAGGTCTGAGTCAATTTAGTCTTCAAAGGTAGAGCAATAGAAAATATCTGAATTTAAAAGTTTCATTTACTTTTTTTTTTTTTAAGTTCCTAGCCTGTCTCCTACTGGACGGTAAACTCCTTGAGAAGAGAGATATGTCTTACTCATTTGTGTTCTCTCCACACTGGCACCATGCTTGCACCGAGGAGCCAAATCATGAATTGGTTAAACAGTTAATTGTTTCCTACCATGCTCTATGAAAGCCATTGATTCGCTGAAGTTGTAGCTAATAATACTAACTACCGTTCACTACTATACAAGGTGCTTTACATAAATATGACACTGATCTTTACGCAGACCTACGTATTATCCTCCTATATGAGAGAAGGAAACTGAATCTCAGAGAAGTAATTTGCCCAAGATTGTGCAGTCGAGTAACAAAGCTAGAGTTTGACCTGCGTCTGTCTGATGCCGGAGTGCACCTACTTTTCTTTACCCAGAGCATTCCAGAGGGTAGAAAATGTTATTTCAGAACTCTCAGGATTAAAAATTCTCAAGAGACTCTGTCTGGAATAATCCATCATTCTGAGGCCTATTATGACAGGCCTTTGGGTACTTCTGATACTATGATTGCCTACATTTTCCCACATTAAAAAAAAAAAAAAACTTCTAAATATTATTTTTCAATTGTTTAACCATTTCTTCTGGTTTGGACATTCAGGTTTATCTAATTTCCCACTGTTAAAGACACCACAATGAACTTTTTTGTGCATAAATCTTTGCCTGCAATTGGAATTATTTCTTTAGGGTACATTTCTAGAAATAGAATTGGATTAAGGAACATAAACATTACTGACTCATATATACTGCCAAATTCCTTTTCATAAAATATACTCATTTAAACTTTTACCAACAGAAACAGCAGTACTCAGCTCATCTGGGCCTTCCAATACCTTTATCTTTTGCAAAAAATTCTTGCCAACTTGATAGTTTAAAAAAGTCTCCTTTTTTATTTGCATTATTTTGATTACAAAAATGTTTAAACCTTTTCTCATGTTTATTAGCCCTTTATATGTCTTCTTGTATAAATTCAGTTCATATCGTTTATCTATTTAATTTCCTACACCTTAGTGTTTTTCTTCTTAATCTTTACTTTTACACTCTTCAAATGTTAAGACTATTAAGGCTTTAGCACACTTTTTTGCCAAATATTTCTCCAGCTTTTTGTTTCTTTAAGTTTTAATTTTTGACACACAGAAGTTTTAAGTATTTTAATCTATTTATGTTATCTTTTCTATTTTTGTCACTTTTAACTCTAAAAGACTAACATCCAGTGATCCAGTAGATATTCTTTTATATTTTTCTCTAATTAAAAATATTTAACCCCTTGATTTTCCTGTGGTTTATTTTGGTACATAGTATGACATATTTAATTTGCCCATTTCTCCAAATAGTTATTTTTCCTAGCTACTTCCTCTTTTGTTTGTGATGCTATCTTTATCATAGCTTTAATTCCTGTTGAATCTAATTTTTGCTTTTACTTTTATTTTCTTTTAGCAAATCCTGCCTCCTGTGGCTTTATAAGGACATGGTAAGACTGCAGCTATGGAACTGTTCTCACAGACCTAAGCTAGTGGGCCAGCCATGCTTGATGGGCTGACTTATTCTGGGGCATTTGAAGTGAAAGTCCATCTTGAGGTTTTTGAGAAGGTGATTCCTATGCTTTGGCTTTGTCATAAGGCCCTTCTCTAATCACAATTCCTATGGAAAGAGGAATGAAGGAAGATAAATTGGGAAAGAAGATTGAGATGTATGACAACACTTCTTATAGTCACTTAGTTTTTCACTTGTTTGCTAGATACTAGGTTTGTTGCCCACTGGACCTGAACCTTTAAGGGACTGGGATTCTGCATTGACAATCTCATGTCATAGATTTTATGAAGCTCCAGATTAATATATCCCAATCCCCCTTGCCTGTAATCCAAGTACAGTAGCTAATGAAATTTCAAGAAAGTACCCTCCATGGAAAAAAGTAAAGGAAAAAAAAGTGTGTGTGTGTATGCACATGCAATGTGCGCAAATAAATGCTGAAAATAGATGCTTACCCTTGGTTTGGCTGAGATGTAGTTAGAAGAGGAAACGATTCTAATCTGAAAATTCAAAATCTAAAATGCTCCAAAACCTGAGACTATTTGAGCACTGACATGATACCACAAATGGAAAATTCCACACATGAGTACTTAACACAAACTTTGTTTCATGTACAAAATTATTTTAAATATTGTATAAAATTACCTTAAGCCTGTATGTATAAGACATATATAAAACATAAATGAATTTCGTGTGTAGACTTGGGTCCCATCCTCAAGATACCTTATTATGCACATACAAATATTTACAAATCCAAAAAAATCCAAAATCTGAAACACTTCTGGTCCCAAGCATTTTGAATAGGAGATACTCATCCCGTGGAATCATTGGAGAAATACCAGGGGCTCAGATCAGTGCTTCATGTAGGTGAGAAGTAAATAATACCAGATTTTGTTTTTATCCACTTTTTAAGTAAGTGAGTAAAAACCATTCATATTTATATTTATTGTTTAGCCTATTTACATGTATGGCTATTACTTAGGCTTATTTTGTATTTTCTATTTACTATGTTTTATAGCACTTTTTTTCTTTCTCTTTCATGCAGTAAATACTACTACCCCATTTTTGGGTAATA